TCTGCCACCATGCCAGAAATAAACCTGGCTAGCCTGCCCAGGCACTGACAACGAGCGTTTGTTAACAAACTAACTGTTCCCCGTCTCCGAGCCCTCATCCCACTACCTCCCAGGCTGGGTCCCGAGCAGCCATGTTGGAAGGAAGCCCCATCTGTCCCGAAACTCAGCCCGGAGAGGTGGGAGACTCCAGTGAGACTGCGATGCAACGGCTCCCAGCTTAAACTCAGCGTAGCTGGGCCGGCCCGCGAAACCCCGCGCCGCAGGGCCCACAGTCGTCTTGGTGACAACCGCCGCGTGGCCTCATTCCCAAGGCTCTGGGGGAAAGAGAGGAGGCACTGAAGGGGAGGCGGGCTCCTCGCTGGGCTGAGGGGCCGGGAGGCGGACACAGAGGCCTGGAACGGCAGGCCTGGGCAACGGCCCCTTGGGAAAGCCACACTTAGCCACCTCCAAAGTGGTGGCCAAGCTGACCTCAGCTGGCGCAGGAGTTTTCTTTGACTTGAACAGCATTCTTCAAAAATGAGGTGTCCAAAATGACACACCACTTGACACAAGGAGGCAAGCAGAAATAGTAAACAAAGACAGGAAAACGGCCAGCGGTGGTAAGGATGGAGGAACGGGCCCACGCGAACTCGCGATGGCACGTAAAACGGCGCACCCGGCACGGAAAGCAGCCGGGCAGTGCCGCAGAACGTGAGACGCAGAATCACCACGCGGCCCCGCCATTCTGCTCCTAGGGAGGTGCCCCCGAAGCTGAAAACAAGTGGCAGACACAAACTCATACATAAACCTTCACAGTAGCACTATTCACAACAGCAGAAGGTGGACACAGCCCAGACGACCGTCCACCGGTGAGAGGGTAAGCAACGCGTGGCCTAACCAGCCAGTGGGGACCACTCAGCCACAAAGAGGAATGAAAGACTGAGACAAACTGCAGCGTGGATGTACCTTTAAAACCTTTGGTTAAACAAAAGCAGCAAAGCAATAAAGACTATATATTCGATAATTTCATCCATAAGAAATGCCCACAACAGGCAAATCCACAGAGACAGAAATCAGATCAGCGGTCGCTGAGGGCAGAGGGTGCCGGAAGGACAGGGAATGACCCCAGAGGGGTACAGGGCTATTTCTGAGGCCATGAAAGTGTCCTGTGTTGACTCAGGCAATGGGGCACATATTTCTGAATACGCTGAAATCCACTGACTTGTGCATTTTACATGGATGAATTGTACGATACATACATTATATCTCCATAAAGTTTTTTTTAGAAGATATGAGTTGTTTTGTTTTGTTTTTAATGTAATGATTTTGTATACAAATCCAGTTTTCTGGTTTCTCTTTTAAAAACTCAGAAGACGTGGCAACGCGGGGCCCAGGCGCCCTGGCACAGTCGGCTGGCGCTGAGGGCCAGGTGCCCCCGCGACAGGGCCTGTGTGGCAGGTCACAGCCGCCGACCCACTCGCCTGCGCGCCCCGCCCACCTTGGGTGGGCCTTTGACCTTGAGTCCCCTATGGGACCTTCACAAACAACTTTCACAATTGCCTTATTATAAGGTACTTTCCTCACCCCCCATTTCATGGGCAAGCAACGTCGGGGTCCACAGGGAAGTGGTCTCCAACCCTGCACCTGCTCAGCACCCCCACACCTGGGCCCCGGAGGACGTGCTCCTTGCTGGGCTCTGCTGCCAGCTGGGAGGCAAGAGCGGGCCGGCCCCCGCCCCGGACCCCCGGCCAGGCCAGAGCCCGATGCTCTGAGCTGATCGTTCTGCCCCGCACCCTGCCGGGCCGGGCCGGGCCGGGACCCCATCAACTGTCAAGGTGCAGATAGAGCGGCCGGGCTGTCCTGGGGCCAAGGCCACAGACTCCACGTGGGCTGGGGAGCCAGGGGCGGGCACAGAGTTTGCTGTGCGTTCACTTCTTTATCGGGGTCCTCCACCATGAGCCCAGAGCCAGGGCGAGGCTAGCGGAGGAAGGCGCAGTGAGAAGCCTGCGCCCGGCTGGCGGGGCCCCCCACAGAGGAGCTGCCCCTGCCTGCTGTCCTACATTCTTCCGCTAAAATGTCCCCGCCCACCTTGCTCAACTCACCCCTACATTCCTTTGGTCTGATGAGCCAAGGACCCTCCATCAGCTTGGGACCTGTACCACCAGGGAGCTTCCCTAAGTCCTCATGATGCCCTGGCTCCAGGGCTCTGCTCAGCTGTCTGTCTCCCAGTGCCAGGTGCTGCAGCGGTCACACCCCCAGCTCTGGCAGCAGGAGGACTTGGGTTCAAGTCCCTGCTCCACAGCTCACTGGCTGGGACTGAGGGTCCGCCACCGCACCGTGCCAAGCCTCCCTGCCACTCCCCCCACATGAGGATGGCGGTTCCCAGCAGCGGCACCGGGGGTGCCCGGGGGGCTCTGTGCCTCCATAATCTTCCTTGGCACCTGCCTCCATTCTCGGATGCGGCCAGGTGACGTTGTCTCAACTTAATATAGGCGTTACACTAAAGCAGCTTCAGCCAGGCCTTTGGCCCTGGCCCCCCACCAGATGGAACCAGCCCAGGGAGAGGCTTGGAGGTGCTGCTCACTGTGGCACCCGCCCCATGGGGTTGGCTGGGGGAAGCTGTGGACATTTCTCCGTTCCTGGCACACACCACAGAAGTGCTCAATAAACGTGACACTCCCCCCGAGCCCCGGCCCGTCCAGGTCCAGGGCTGCCTCCCGAGCTGGCCGACTGGGCCCTGCCACCCAGGATTCGGGCCATCTCGCGAGCTCCAGGCTCAGGGAATACGAGCTGCCTTTAACAGCCCAGTCCGAGAAAAATTGGAAGGGACAACTTAACACATGCACGCACTGTAAAAACCACCAGGACGGGCCAAAGAAAACAGCAGTCCGTTGCCGGGCTGTGCATGATCCGATGCCCGGCCCCTGCGCCTTCCCTTTCCCACCTCCCAGCAGTAAACGCAAAGCCAACGGGCACTGCAGAGCCCCCGGGCCCCGAGGGGCGCAGACGAGCTGTGCATCATGTCCCCCCAACACACCTGCTCAGGTCCTGGAGGGAACTGGGCAAGTCCCACAAGCTCCGCCACTCTGCGCCCCCAACAGACCTGCCGTTCCACTGTGGACTCAGAGCCCCCAAATCACCCCTGCTTTCTGCACACAAGGGCGCTTTCTGCACACACGACGCCCTCTGCACACACCGACGCCTCACTGCCTCAGGTGTGCAGCCCCGGCACTGAGGTGCCCCGCCCAGGGCTCTCCACCCCCCGTGACCTCTGCCGATGCCCTCCTTCACCTCACCGCCTCCGGAACCCCTGGAAAGACAGCCGGGAGGGGGACCTTGTATGGACACCAAGCAGGCTGGACGCTTTGCTGGTCTGGGGTTTGGGGAACAGCGGGGATCCTCTTCAGAGCTGGCGGCAAGTCTGGGCACAAGCCCCCACGTCGGTCAGGACGCCCGGAGGCCACGTGGGAACGGACAGCCTCACTCCAGCCACGGGGAGTGCGTCCCCCGCACAGGAGGAGACGGGGCAGGGCTACACAGCGGCCCCTTCTCCCATCCTTCCCAGCAGGGACCCCACGGCGTGCCCTAATGCCGGACTCTCCTCCCGAGGATTTGAGCAGCCCCCTCCGGCTTCAGGCAAGACCCCTCCTGGGGAGGCAGCTACAGCCACCAAGGGCTAGGCACCTGCAGGGACAACAGAGCCCCAGCCTGGGTCAGCCAGGACCCCAGCGGGACCCCCAGGCTCTCCGGGCATCCTGCAGGAAGGAGCTCTGGGCCGCGAGTCCAGGGACCTGGGTTCGAGGGCCAGCTCTCGCTCCCCTTCCGTTCTGTGCAATGCACACCAGCGCTCCCCAAACTTCGGTCACCTCTGAGCCACCCCCAGGACTTCTGCCGAATCCAAGGATCATGTGCTATCAGTCAAAACTCTGCCAACTTAATTTTCTCACTTAAGTGACTTCAGCATCATCTTAAGTCACAAAATAACCATAATGTCACAGATGCGATGTGTAACCCATTCAAGAGCTCAACGTCCACACACCTGATGCCAAACACCACATTTGTGGAACTACCGAGGCAGGCAAATCTCTCTCCCGGCCTCAGTTTCCACACCTAAAAGAGAAGCTTGGACTAAATGACTCCCTGGTAGGACTCATCAGGCCCAAGACTCCACAAGACCGAACTGGCCCCAGCTCCCCCGGGGGCCAGGGCTGGCTGCTCAGGTTCCCGGGGCAGGGGACAGGCAGGGGACCGGCAGGGGACAGGCAGCATGAACCGGGCACCTGCCAGGCAGCGAACCAGAGCCCCATTCCCAGGAGAGGCGCCGGCCAGATACCAAACCAACAGGGGAACCGCCATTCAGAAGTGTCCAAGGACCCCGAGCCAGTTCCTAATCACAGGACTTCACTGCTAGAGAAATCTCCTTCACCCGCCTCTTTTTATAGCTGGGGAAACAGAGGCAGGGGGGAGGAGCTTGGGCAAGGGCGGACAGGGCTGGAAACCCAAGTCGCCTGGCCGCCCAGTCGCCCCATCGCCCCGCAGTGGCCACGCACACTCAGCGGCGCAAGCTTCCCCTCCTCCCTCCCCCGGAGGCGCGGGCTCAGGGCTGCCGGCCTGGGGTGCAAAGCCACCCCTTCCAGGGAGGCGGCTGCAGGAATCATGACTTCAAGGGAGCTTAAACATCCCATGACAGTGGCTTTTGAGCAATTAAACTGGAATGGGTGGGCTCTAATGCCCACGGCAGGAAGCTCCAACGCCGGCGCAGTGGGGGCACCGCGGCCCATCTGAACGCGCCCACACAAGAAAAAACGCAGCTAATATGGAGAATCGGGCCATAGTAGCCTCCGTTCGTAATAGATTTTATTGACCGTATGGAACGGATATAAAAATCGTGTTGCACGGGGTAGGCTGGACCAGAGACAGGGATACGACGTGAAGGATGTGATTTCCCTAACCCGCTGGGTGGCTTTGTGCACCCCTGAGCCCGTCCCCCAGAGCCCCTCACCCCGTCCCGGGGCATTTACCTGAGGCTGTCACCGAGGAGTCCCAGGCCAGCGAGAAGTCTGAGGCCTCCCCCTCTTCGACTGAAAGAGAAAACAGAGATGCGTCTGTGAGTTCTGAGGCAGCACAAACAGGTCCTCGGCATGGGGGTCCCTACAACACCCGTGATCGGAGGAAGGGGTCAAGCCTGCCAAGGGGCTTGTATTGGTTTCACAGATGTGAAATAATCCAAATACAACATGCACAGCAAGCAAGGGCTGTATCCGCCTGCTCTCCCCTCCCCGTGCCCCTGGCAGACATCACAAGTCGATCACAGCACTGTCTCGAACCAGGCGCAGCCCTGGACTCTTTCTCCGCTACTCAGGGCCAGAGTTTCCACGTGAGATAGAGTCCCTGGCCGGAAGACAGCAAAGACTCAGGCGTCTCCCTGACCCGCCTGGGGTCACCCTCCTACCGAGAGCCCCAACCCAGGCTGCCACTCAGATGCGACGGCTTTCTCAATGATCCCAGGAAACAAACAATGTCATTGTCAGAGTGGGCGGAGCGTGGGGGGCTACTCTGCACCCTGAGACTAGACCCCCAGACAGGCCTCCGGACCGGCTGAGGTCCCCTCCCCCGAGGTCAGCAGTCCAGTCATGCGCTGGTGACATCAGGAAGCTACTCACATCTCTACGCTGCCCCTGAGCCCACAGAACACAGCCTGACAGGGACGGCCCGTCCCCACCACCCACACCCCAGCGTGGGAGGCCAGGCAGGCGGGGACGGAGGCCATGCCCCAGGAGAACATGGGAGAAACTCTGGAACTGCATAATGAGGCTCCTGTCCTGGAACGAATCCCAGGGGGACATGCAATATATGTTCAAGCTGGGCTGCGGACTTCGTAAAATGGCAATTTGTTAAAGCCAAAAATGTGCATACGCGGTGTTTTCCAGATTTGAGGGCCTGCTCTGAGCTGCACCCACGAGCAGGCCAAAGCCACCAGGTGCCAGCCTGGGCCACCACAGGTAACAAAGGCGCGGCTGCGAGCCAGGTGCCGCGCTGAGCGCTTCTCAGGCCTTGCGGCACCGAACCCTTGTCAACAGGCACTTAGAGGGGGGCGGGGGCGGACGCGCCTGAGTCTCGCTGTGAGAACGTCGGCACAGCCTGTGGGCTGAAGCCCAGATGCGACTGGCTCGGACGCCGCTCCTGAAACCACTGTCCCGCGGGCCCCCGAGGGACGCCACTTCATTGTAACGACAGCAAGAGGCCGCAGGAACTCAACTCTTGCTCATGTCAATTAACTCACAGTAAAGCTGGGTTCCTTCTACGAGGCTTCACCTAAAGGCGCAGAACCTATGGACGACGTCAGGCAAGGACTTACTCTACCCTGAGACACACGAGACGCAGCCCCGAACCCTGGACCGGAAGCAGCCCCCCAGCCAGCCCCACGGAAGGCAGGTACGCAGCGCGCGGGGCAGCCAAGCCATGAGGGGCGAGCTGCTGCTTGTGGCAGGTACTGGGTTCAAATCCCGATTCTGCCTCTAGCTAGCAACATGACCTTGAGCAAGTACTTGAACCTCTGGGCTTCCGTTTTCCCACCTCACAAACGGAGATTACGGTACCTGTGCCCTAGGACTGGCGGGAGAATTCAGTGGGATGGTGGCTGTCACCTGCAGGGGCAGTGGCACAAGCACTGGGAGTGGGGTCGGGGGCGTCAGGGCTGGAACGGCTCTTGGAACTCGGCCCTGCCCGCCGGCTCCCTGGCCCCTTATCATCTGCCGCCGCCTCACTCCCCCCAGCCAGAGCCTCGCAAACGTGCTCTTTAACACCCAGAAACAGCAAGAGGGGGGACGTCCCCGGCAATGAGCAACAGGATAAAGATGCTCACGGGGACATCTCTTTTTTCCAAGTTTGCGTCCTGAGAGCAGAAACTTGGAATCAAGACAATGAGACGCAGAGAGATGCTCGGGCTGGAGCGGAGCTATTGTCTCCCTTCGCCAGCCACAGCTGGGGCGCAGCGCAAACGCGGGCCCCACACACAAGCGCGGGCTTGCGCCGGGCAAGGCTGGCATCGCTCGCCCGGCCGACTCCGACCCGACGGCCTGCGAAGCGCCCGTGGGCGAAGCTGACAGCCACCGACAGCTCTCCCCGCCACGCCCAGCCCTGGGTCCCTCCTCGTTCCACCCTTTCCCTATGCAAACTCATTTGTGCTTCTGCGAGGAGGTGGCTGACAATTTGTGAGGCTGCCCGGCGGCCGTTTCACTGGACCGCCTTCCATGAGGTCTCACGCCTCGTCCACCACAGGTACCAGGTCGTTCTGCGTGACTCTAGATGCCCCGTGTCCCTAAGGGTCCTCCATGTGTCAGGACAAACAGCCCCCACACGTGAGCCCACTCAATGCTCTTCGCTTGAAAAGCGTGACCTCCCACGTCCTCGAACTGCAGGGTGTCCCCACGGTGCCGAGTCCCTCCCGCCCAGCGGCCTGGCGTCGGCCGCCACGGAGAGATGTGAGAACGCCTGCCTTGTCGGAGCTCTGGGGAGGACTCAGCCTCTGTCCCCGGGTGTGACGAGCCTGCGGAGGTGGGAAGAGCGGGCATGCGGCCGCGCCTCCCTCCAGCATCTCTGGAACCACGTGCCCCCGAGCGAGGGCCCCGTGGGCCAACGCGGCTAGCGACCCGGGCGTGACCCCCTCTTCCCAGGACAGCTGGCGTCCCCCCACTCCATCCCAGCCCCGGCCCCCAATCTGGTTTTCGAAGGTATGAGCACCCCACCTGTCTACATTCTTGATGAGAACACGTTAACGCCGCCCCCACCACCACCATCCCGAGGCTCTGCGCTCCCCGACACCGAGACCGGGAGAGGGTGTCCCCACCCTCCAGCTGCCCCTTCCGCGCAGACTGGCCGCTTCAGCCGTGAGGCAGGGCAGGGGCAGCGGGCTCAGGGAGGAGCCCCCACAGCCGCCGCCAGGCACTGCCGGGGCCTGAGCCGTCCCGGAGGACCGGCGCCGCAGAGGCGAGGCGAGCGCCGAGGCAGGAGCCCTCGGAGGAGCCCTCGGAGGAACCCCGGGCGGCGCAGTGGCCAACACAAACATCACCCACAGAGGCCGCCCTGCCAGCCGGGGGGCTGGGTGCTTTCCGGAGACGTCCCCAGGCTCGACCTCTAGCTTTTTCATTTATAAAACACCTGGCACCATGGAGACCAAGACGCACACTCCCGCCCTGCGAGGGCGGGCCAGGGACACGCCCTCCTGGGAGTGACCGGCATTGGCGAGCACGGGGTGGGGGGCGGTGCACAGGGCAGTGTGCAGGCAGGGCGAGGGGCCGCGGTGAGTAGGAGAGCACAGGCGGGGTGCGGCCGAAGTGCGTTCACGCGCGTGTGTCCGCCCTGGGGGGGGCCCTGCATGCGCGGGCCATGGTCCCTCGGGGTGGGTTCAGAGGGCGCGGAGGCCCTGCCGGGCGCAGACAGGCCGGGGCTCCAGGTCCCCCCTGCCCTGGCACCGCAGGCTGCAGGTGGCTGGCTGCCCCGTGGGGGCCGAAAGCCCGGCAGCGTCACTCGACACCGGCCCCCAGCTCAGGGCAGGCTCCTGAGGGACGCCTCTGCCTGCCCTGAACGAGCCCGTAGCTCGTCCCACGCACCAGGATGGCCTTGCCACCAGCGAGGACATGCCGGTGAGACCCGCGGCCCATGTGCCGGGCCTCTGGACATGGGTAACCCCAGGCCCGGGCCCCAATGGCTGAGCCAGGACAGGCCAGGTGGGTCGAGGTCAGGCAGGACCTGGTTGGCAGGTGAGGGGTAGGGGGGCGCGAGGACCAGGCTGCCGGCGGGCAGAGTCGGGAGGTGAATGCGAGAGACAAGGCAGGCAGGACCCCGGTGCCCCTGAGGCCTCCGGCAGGTCCCAGCCAAGCCCCTCCTCCCCAAAATCCGCGCCAGGCCCACCTGGCTTCGAGGGTCTGAGGAGGCCCCGCCCTGCAGGTCAGCTTCCAGACAGGTGTGCAGACAGGCATTTTCCTGAGAAAAGGATCCATAGTTTTCAAACATTTCTAGAACGTTCTCCCCAATATTAAGAAGGTGTAAGAACCACTGGACTGGTGGATTTTATTTTGGGAGCCTTCTCCACTGGCCCAGCCTTGGCTGCTGTTCCTAAGGTCTGAGGGCACCCCTGTGCTCGGCTGCTGGGAGGGTGGGGCCCACTCGGGCCCTGATGGAGCCTCCCGAGAGGCTTCCTGTCCCAGCAGAGGTGGCAGGCAGGCCAGGGGCGCGCGCCCGCCTCTCCCCACAGGGAACCCCCCTCGCCCCCATCAGGCCGGATGGACACACGGAGAACCCAGACCCTCCATGTCTAACGTGAAATCATGTGTCGCGGCTCCTGACTGAGCAGTAAACCACCTCAAGGGGCGAGAAAGCTGCAGGCGGGGCAGGCGGCTGTGCACGGCTCTGCTTGGGGCAGGCGGGGCGGGGCGGGGCGGGGCGGGGCGGGCGGGGACTGCGAGCCCCCAGAGTTCCCTCTTCTCACTGCAGCCTAGACTAAGCATCTTTTCTTTTGCATATGTTTCTGACAAAAGTAACCCACGTATTCCAATTGGAAACTAGGAAATGCACGTGAGTTAAAATGAAGAAACTAAAAGCACAACTTTTTCCACGTGTGAAAACACTGTTACCACTTTCCAGAAGGTGGTAACAATACATACAACTGAACAACGCCAAGTGCTCTGGGACCGTTACTAAGTGAGCAGCATACACTGAGCGTCTTTTCACATCCCAAACGTGAACCGACAGCGTCGTGGCTTCGGCCCGGCCACGGGAGGCTCAGGACTCATTTAACCGGGGCCCTGCTGCTGGGCACCTGGGCTACCTCCACCCACTCACTACACGCGGCCACACGCCTCACCCGTGACTATTCCCAGAATAAGCTCCCGGCTGCAGAGTTGCTGGACAGTTGGCCTGGTTTCCGGCTTCTGAGACAGGCCGCCGACGTGCCTTTGGCTGTTTCCACCTTTCATGAGCATCGATGTCTCCAGGTGACCCACAACGCGAGCCCGGCACTGTGAGAGACGTGAGAACGGGCCTTGGGCTTGGACCTTCGGCTGCTGGGCTGCGAATTCCA